ATGTATATCCCGTATGCAATTCTAATAAAATTCCTTCGGCAATGTAAGCCGCCTTAATAACAAAAAAAAAAAAAAAACAACAAGCCATACGTACAACTTTAGTCATTGTCTAATTTAAGTAGTCTGCTACACAGGCTATTAGACTACCTGATTAGTTCTACACTATGCTGCTATACCTGTAACCTACCTATAAGTTACCTATTTAAACACTCTATTCATTAACCTATACAGATCTAAACCTAACGTCACTGCAACACTTAACCACTTAAGCCAGCTAGCTCGTTATGAATCTATTTACTTAAATCAGCTTAGGTCCTCTTGGGATACACTATATCAGACGCATTGCTAGTATTGCAGAGCCAGTTAACCTTGAAGCAAACCCACTAGAGTAGCCCATATCTATTTTATGGGATTACCTAGATTAGACCCTTGTAGATGTTTGTACAACCCCAGTTCTTACTATAGCTCTCTACCAGTTTTTTGTATTCTATTTTCTTGGATATTTCATAAGGCAGATCTTCTCAATTCAGTTAGCTGCCAAGCCAGGTTGGTATTACCGATTCTCTCTGTAGAATGGATTTATGTGTACTCGACTCGATCTGCATCTTTTAATCATAGTTTCCTTTCTGGATCAAGTGTTAGCTGGTGTGACCGTCAAAAGCTGTACTACTTCATCTACTCGGGATTTCTACTATGCAGGTCCCCTGCCTATAGATCTTATCAAGATTTATTCGTATAATGTTACGTCTTACCAAATGCCCTGTCACACTTCCAATATCCAGATAATATTAGTGCAACATGATTTACAGGGTTACAACTCCAGAAACAGACAGGATTTAGCGTAAGTTAGATACAAAGGTCCAGGTAATTATTCAAATTCGTCGAAAGTAGGATTTGAACCCCAGACTTCTTGCATAGCAGTCTGGCAACCTAACCACTACACTAAGATCACCAGACCTCAAAAAAACTATTTATAATAAAAAGTTATGTCAAATATTATACAAAAATTATTTTAATAACATGCTAAAATTATTTCAATAGTATGCTAAAATTATTTCAATAACATGCCAAAATTATTTTACTAGTATACAAATCTACTATATAATAATAAAAATACATATGTACAAAAAAAAAAAAAAATATGTTTTCCAAAAAAGTTATATTAATTGATACACAAAAGATTGCATTTTGTACTTATGCTTGTGATAATAAAATGACTCGAGCTAAATATATTGATTGGATAGAAGAATAGTAAAGTGTTAAAATCAATAAAAGTACAGTTTCAAGAATTTTAAAAGCTAGAGAAAAATAATTTAACTCTAAAGCTTCCAACTCTAATACAAAATGCTATAGACCTGTTACTATTCCAGTAGTTGAGCTTGCACTAAAAGAGTTTGTTTTAAATTATCAGCACAAAACAATTTTAAGTGATACTATACTAATTGAGAAAGCAAAGTTACTTGCTGCTAGATTAGAGGTTCTAGAAGGAACTTTACAATTTTTCTCTAGCTAGTTGCAAAAATTTAAAGAACATAATTGTATTCAGCAAGTAAAGCTACAAGGTGAAGCTGTATCTGCAGACAATATTGCTATTGTTAATGCATTACCATTGATAAGATCCAAATACGCCAGTTATTTACTTGATAGAATATACAATATAGATGAAACTAGGCTCTTCTATCGATTAGAACTAGATCATATCTTGGCAACCTACTATATTGCTGGACACAAAGTAGATAGAGAACATATTTCAATTGCACTATGTACAAATGCAGATAGTTTACATAAATTAAACCTATTAGTAATTAGCAAATATCAAAAACCAAAATGTTTCAAAAATATAAATCTTAAAAATATACTATTTATGTATCGAAATAATACTAAAGCTTAGATGATTACAACAGTTTTTCAAGATTGGCTTAAAGAATTTGATTACCAAATTGGTCTAAAATATGATAGCCAATTTATAATTCTGCTTTTAGATAAGTGTTTTAGTCATAAACTTGATTTTTTAAATTTATAATATATAAATGTCTATTTTTTACCTGCAAATATAACTTCAAAAATTCAACTAATAGATGCTAGAATAATTATGAGTTTCAAAAAGCACTATTGTCATCATTATATTTCTTAGATATTACAGCAAGTGGAGGCAAGTAATCATGCAGAAGACTTGAAAATAGATATCTTACAAGCTATTTGATATACTATTCAAGCTTGAGAAGAAGTAAATATGGATACTATTCACAACTGCTAGTGACATACTAATGTTCTTCTCACAAGCTTAAATATAGATCTACAAAATCTCTCTAAAAACATTAATCAAAATGTCAGTTCTGAGATTGATGATCTTGTTACAATGATTGAAAATCTTTATTTTTAAAACTCTATGCAAGTTAAGAAGTTTTTATTATCTCTGATGAGACTCTTGCTTATGAAGTTCCTGATGATGATTGTGCTATTTCAGAACTTATAGAAATTTTTAAAGAAAGTGATACTATAGAATATTTAGATAATGTAAATGAAATAGATAATAGGCTAAAGGTTCCTATAGTTAGTACTGATTCTGCACTCGAAGGTTTAGAAACTGCTTATATATATCTACTACAACAAGATAATACAAGTATGCAGTTAAAATTAGTAGATAAAATTAAAAAAGCAATTAAAGAAAAAAAATAAATTCAATGAAACAATCAAAAATTATTCAGTATTTTAAATAGAATACTGAAATTAGTTATAACAAGGATAGAAATAATGTATTTATTTGTTATCTAAATCTACAAAATTAGATGAAAAAAATGCATTAGTTATTATTAAAAATCTGTGAAAAGCAGTTATTTACTCGAAGTTTATAACCTTGAACATTTTAATTAAGAAGGAAATTTGTGTTAAAAAAAAAAAGATAAAAAAAAAAAAAAAGAAAAAGAAAAAAAATTTAAGATAAGTAGTTTTAGATTTGACACTATAAAAATTTGAAAAGTTTTTAAAATAAACTATTCAAAGAACTTATTATATAAAGTTAAATATATAGTTATTTTTTTCTTTACAGTATTCATTAATAGGTAAATATATAATTTTAGGATAATATAGGCTTTTATCGTTAGGTTAAAAGGTATTATTTTGCAAGAATCAGAGGATATGATGCTTGTGTAATATGCTGCTTTGCTCAAAGATTTTTGAAATAAAGTATCTTTGAAATTTCTTTATAAAATATAAAGTGTATGATCGAAAAAGGTATTAAGTATATTTCAGTATTTGCATGCATATATATAATACTATGTATATATTTGTAATAAATTAGATGTATATTAGATTTGGACTATTTGAGATATATATGCTGTAAAAGAGTAAATTGATGCTGAGGTGGTTCAGGTTGAATCTAGCAATAATGTATTAGTATATTATATTAATTACAACTTAGTAAACCTAGTAAATTTATCATATTTATCATATTTATTTACATTTGTCACATTTAGTCAATTTAGTGAATATATTTATTGTTTACAAACTAGTAGTGCTAAAATATAAAAGCACTACCTTTAGTTCTCAATAAAGTAGCTTAGAAAAATAGCTCAGTGTAGCTATTAATAACAGAGCATAACTTAGCAATAACTCAAAGTTCAATACTGTTTGGCTCTACTAATCCCTCTGATAAATAGAATCTATACTAATGATAGAAATTAGTAACCAAGTCCTGTAATTCTGTATTAAGAGACCTGTGATATAGTCTAGAACTCTAACTGACCCTAATTACTCTTTCCATACCTTGATCATAGCCTTGCTATTATTAGAGCTAATTAGAATGATTAGTAGTATTAGTGTAGTGCTGTAGTGTATTTTTGTATTATAAAGCAAATTTGCCTTTTACAACATATATACATATGTTATGCAAATCCTGATCTTTCTGTATTAGATATTGGTTGAGACTAATAAAATAATAAAACAAGAACAAATGAAAGTAATCAAACTAGCAGATCTTATTGACTAGTAATCATATAACTAATTCATAATAAAATTCATAAATGCATACTCTCTCTAAATACATACTTCTGCTTAGTTCTAAAAGTGTATATTTAGGGAGATCAGACTATAATAGCTAATGAGAAAGAATAGGTAGTTGAATCAAATAGAACACTAATTAAAAGCCTAATAAAAAAGAAAACTTTCATCAAAACAGCTAAGATACTCTGTGATCTCAATATTCTTTTGCTAGAACAAAACTTAGACAAAGAAAAAATATACTTAATAATATGGCAATAGCTTAAAGTTGCAAATAAAAAGTCTAAGAAAGATAAAAAAGCTATATAGTTTAAAAAATTAAAGAGCGAATGCTTCTCAGTAAAGAAAAAAGAGAAGTTAAAGATAAATTCAAAACAAGCATGAAAAATTCTATTAGTATACAAAACTTGCTTGAAGGAATTTCTTTAGACAAAAGGAGGCATGAATAGGTTGTATATGAAAACAGCCTTAGCAAAAGTAGAAAGATTAGTAAAGTGCAAAAGAAAATAGAAAATAGTATTTTAATAGAGTACTGGAAAAATAAAGAGAATGCAGAGAAGCAAGAAGAAATAAAAAAATATAAAAGCTGTATTAGCAACAAAGAAAAAGTATACAAAGAGTGTAAGAGTTGGCAAATAAAAAGAAAGGTTCTAGAAGTAATCTTAAAAAACTGTATAAACAAAGAAATAGCAACAATAAATTTCTTACTAAAATCAGTAGCTATAAGTAGTGACTACTAAAAAGATAAAAGAATGGAATGATCTTTTATAGAACTAAAAGTAGTTAAGAAATGTGAACTTAAAATAATAGAGAAGCAAAATTTTAATTCAGACCTAGTAGTAATATTCAAGAAAAAAGTATAAAAGATGATTTTAAGAAAAAAAAAGAAGTAAATTTTTATATAGACAGCTCTCTAGGTAAAGAGGAAGATAGTAAAGTATGAGAGTAGGATGAGTAGAAATAGATTAGATAGAAAATAGTATAGTTAGTATAGGAAATTTAAAAGTTGTTAACTGGTTGACATCATTCAAAGCTGAGCTAGTAGGAATTTGAGTAATTACCTGGACTTTTGTACTCAACTTACGGTAAACCTTGTTCGTTTCTGGAGTTGTAACCCTGTAAATCACATTGCACCAATATCATCTGGATATTGGAAGTGTGACCGTGCATTTGGTGAGATGTAACGTTACACGAATAAATCTTAATAGGATCTATAGGCAGGGGACCTGTATAGTAAAAATCCAGAGTTGGTGAAGTAGTATAGCTTTCGACGGTCATACCGGCTAACACTTAATCCAGAAAGGAACTATCATCAAAAGATGCAGATCGAGTCAGGTACGCATAAATCCAATTTACAAGGAGAATTAGTAATATCAACCTGGCTTGGCAGCTAACTGGATTGGGAGGATCTGCTTCGTAAAACATTTAAGATTATAGAATATAGAAAACTGGTGAAGAGCCACAATAGGAACTGGTATTATATGAATATCTACAAGGGTCTAAGCTAGGTGAATTCGTAAAATGAGTACAGACTACTCTAGTAGGTATGCTTCAAAGTTAACTGGCTCTGCGATACCTACAATGTGTTAGATATAAAGTATCCTGAGAGGACCTAAGCCATTTAGGATAAATGGATTTGTAACAAGTTAGCTAGCTTAAGCAGTTACACATTGTAGTGACATTAGATTAGATCTGTAAGGGTTAATGAACAGAGTATTTAAATAGGTAACTCACAGGCGGGTTACAGGTATAGCAGTATAGTGTAGAACTAATCAGATAGTCTAATCATCTGTACGGCAGACTACTTAAATTAGACAATGACTAAAGTTGTACGTATGGCTTGTTATACACTCTTCATGTAATTACAAACAGTAGGGATTATTAATGTATATCCTGTATGCAACTCTAATAAAATTCTTTCGGCAATGTAAGCCACCTTAATAACAAAAAAAAAAAAATAAAATTATAAAAAATAATTTTGCTTTGGGCCTTAATGATGGGTGATTTATATGTTCATAACATACTTGTTATAAAGTCTTTAAAGTCCTATACTTAACTCAATTAAAACAAAAGAATGTATAGCAGTTAATTTTTTTTAATTTTTAGAATATAAAAACTACTAAAATCAAATAAATTTTTTTTTTAAAAAAAAATTATTAGCAGAAAATTCTGATAGGAGATACTTCTATTACATTATTAATTTGCTGCTGGTTGCACTTATGTACTTAAAATTGTTAATTTTATTTTTAATAGATTCTATTAAACTTTTAGTACTAATGAGAATGATGTTCTTTAGGCTGTTCAAAGTTGATTTTTTGGTTAACATCACCTCCCTTCCAGCTGAAAGCTCTTCTGAGAAATGAACAACTAATCAAAATACTGGATAGCTCTCACTAATCTCTTAATTTACATTAACTAATCAAATTATCTTATTTTTTTCATTCTTTATATTGGTTTAATTTTATCTCCTCTTTTAAGAGTTCTAAAAGTGATATTAACTAAAAATTCAACTGCAAGCAGCTTTATCGTTATGAATAAAAAAAAGAATCATGTATTCTAAATACTTTTATAAAAATTCTATATTATAATTAGTCAGTATCATATATATGCATTTACGGAGAATGCACATATAGGTCTAGGACTCAGAATCTCTTGCACATGCAGAATATAGAGAATGTGTACTTAGTTCTAAGTTTTGATATTAGGACCAAGCCACAGTGTGTATTTAGAGAGTGTATACTTAGAGAAAGTGCATTTAGAGAGGTTAGACTGTAATATATCTTCTATATGCAGTACTATATTAAGTAAAAGCAGTGGTGCTCACTTTACCGATAGTCATTTTACTAAAAGTTTATTTAGCAACATTACATAGAGTTAGGGTTAGGGTTTTATTAGTTTCAAATATATTTTTTTAGTAAATTGTTACTTGGCATAATGTTAGCTAAATGAACTGTTGATAGAATGATTATTAGTAAAATGATACTGATCCAAGTGAAAGACTATTACTAATATTAAACAGATCTCAAACATGAATAATCCTTCAAACAATACAAATATCTAAACTAGTACAATATCTAACTACTTAACTAGCAATACTAGCAATACAAAAACTACTAGTATAATAGAAGGACAATATACTGTATAATATACTGTTTTACAAACTATATCTTATAACACAACTATGAATATTAATACTATAATTATACAAGACCAAAACTACCTATATATAGATAGCTAACCCTTATCACCCTTATTATCAAAAACATACAATATAATTATAGATGATACTGAAACCAATTCTAGAAAAGATATCTCAACTGAAACCAATTCTAGAAAAGATATCTCAACTCATACAAACAATTCTGAAAATTATTTCTATGAACTATCTTATACTCAAATTATATAATCTAATATATATCATTCTAATTCTACATATACCACAAATCATAGTAATGAATAGGCTAATATTCTTATTAACAATATAAAAAAAAATGAACTTTCAGATCTCAATATGATAGAATGGAATCTTGAATAAATCAAAACTGCATTGAAATATCTGACAGAATCACTGAGTTTCTAAAATACAAATTGTAAACAAAATCTACTAACTTTACAATTTTACTAACTATTAGTCTAAAATTTAAATATCTTGATACAACCTTTTTTACAACTTTTATACT